CTCAAGCTCATTATTCTGTCCCCCCATCCCACACCCCAGTGTCTTTGTCAGGAAGCGTTCCGCACTCTTTGAGTGCTTACAATGGAAGTTCTCCGTTAAACACTGGGAAAATCGAGGGCTGTCTCGCTGTCCTGGTCCTTGGATCAGGGCTGATGGGATCCGTTTTGGATTTCCTATCATGAGACAGAATTGCTTCCGATGAGTTGAAGTCTGCCAGTGCTCTTTCGAGCCTTTCGATGGTGGTATTTCTTAGTAGTGAAGCATACATACCTTCCAGATCATTTTTGATTCTTGAATTATTTGCTTCATGCAGAAGCTAATTCGATACAGGCCCGTTGGGTGAAGCACTTCTCAAAGGACAAGCCTACGCTGGCGATGCACTCTAGTCTGACGAATCCCTTCGGAAAGGGTAGTCTGATTGAGCTGCTCAGACAGTACGCCAAGCTCCACAGCGACCGCAAGCAGATCTCTGTTGGTCTCATCGGCTACCCTAATGTCGGCAAGAGTTCCATCGTCAACACCCTGAGACAGAAGAAGGTCGCCAACGTTGCACCGATTCCCGGTGAAACCAAGGTCTGGCAGTACATCACACTCACCCGCAAGATCTGTAAGTCATCGTTCCATTCCTTTCGACGTACTTCAACATAGAACTAATCTGCCATAGACATGATTGATTGCCCTGGTATTGTGCCGCCGTCGCAGACCGACACCCCTCAGGATCTTCTCCTGAGAGGTGTTGTTCGTGTTGAGAACGTCCACAACCCTGAGCAGTACATCCCTGCTGTGCTCGAGAAGGTGAAGACACATCACATGGAGAGAACATACGGACTCAAGGGTTGGACCAATCACGTCGAGTTTCTCGAGATGCTTGCCCGAAAGGGTGGTCGTCTGCTGAAGCACGGAGAGGCCGACTTGGACGGTGTTGCCAAGATGGTCCTCAACGACTTCATGCGTGGCAAAATCCCTTGGTTCACTCCCGCGCCTGTTGAGGAAGAAGGCACGGAGACTCCCGAGGGCATTGAGGGTCGTGGCGGCAGGCTTGGCGAGATGCCCCAGAAGCGGAAGCGTGACGCAACTGATGTGGCCGAGAGCGTGGCCGATACGTCAATGGGACCCTCCAGTGACGAAGAAGAAGGGGACGATGAGGAGTTTGAAGGTTTCGGGTCTGACGATGACAAGGCTGAGGGCGACAGGTCCTTGGCCGAGGCATCTGAAGACGCAGGTGAGGCCTCAGACGACATGATCCCGCTGGATGACATATCAGACGATGACTCTGCGAGTGAAGATGGTGGTGACGGCGCTGCCTCGGAGACAAGCTATAACACCTCGGTCCGTGCTGTATCGGATCGTAGTGCTAGCAACGCCTCGAAGAAGAGAAGAAAGACCAAGACGTGAAATCCTCAGGCGAGAACCTGCTAGATGAATCTCTTCCGCTGCAACGCCGAAGTTTCGGCAGCCTCACCAGTACAGGTGGGAAGCGGCGAGTCCACTTGAGTTGGGGCTGACTCGGAAAAAAACAAAACGAAACGAAAAGCGAGTTTGGCCGTACGGTCCGCAATCGGGGACCTTCAGGAACCGTCAGGCCTTTGTGCTGTGAAAATCACGGGCCAGCCAGGGCAGTTGTTTCACGATACCTCAATGTTTCTAGACATTGAGGCTGTTCAGCGTCGGCACCTGATTGCGGCTCTGCCTTGGGACGCAGATCCCGGGTTTCCGCCCTTCCCTGTTTCTCCAGCTAAGCACGGGCTCCAGCCGCGGGATGTTTCCCAAAGTTTATTCCCCCGCCATCTCTATCGAGGGATGTTACGCTCAGCGTTGTTACCGTATGATACCCCCAAATGATCTATCTCGATTGGCAAGTTGCCATCTGTAGATAGATATTGTCCATATTCAAAAGCCTCTTCAAAACGAGGTCTCTTCAGTTCAGAAAGAACCGAAGTCGAAACAAAAGAATGCAGAGATAGACATTCAGTGGATTGGTCGCCGCCAGTCAGACAAGAATACAAAAACATGATTCACCGATGAAAACTTTGTTCCTGTGCCCTCTTTCCCTTCATGTTCCCTCTTTCGGCTTCTGTCGTTCCCTTTGTCGGTTGTCTCGCCGCGACGTCGGCCCTGCAACTTGAGCAGAAAAAAACAAACAGACATCGGCCAACAGAGAAACGGGGATTCGATGATATTGATTAAAGTTCCGACGTAAGGTTCCTCGTCACGACTAAGCAGGAGAGTTTCCCTCAACGTCCACCCGTCTCAATTAGCGAACCTGGCCCGACTTGACTCTTTCCTCATTGAAAAGCAAAGTTTATTCTTTCTTTCGCTTGTGTCTGCAAAGGAAGGATTTCCTTCTTTTCATCTAGCGTGGAAACGGTCCTTTTCTTCTTGGCTCTCCTACTCTATCTGGCACTACCACCCCCCCCCTCCCCTCTCCTTCCCCCTCCATCTCGATTGCGGAAAGAGAAGTGTGTCGACGATCGTCTGATGACTATGAGTCGTGAGAGAAGGTTTATTTAGAGTTCTTACAACCTCCTTCTCCGATTCGAGACTTGGAGGACTCAACTCAACAACAACCAACACACACATACACTTACGCAGGCGTCTCTTTGGAGGAATAATTCCGACGAGAAGGCAAGTTTCTGTCGACCCCACGTGGACCGTGTAATCCGATGTTTTGCTTGTCTGGTTTCTCTCGCCCTCTTTCCTGTTCCCTCTCTGCCTTGGTTTTTGTCTCTCGCTGGATGGCAGAACACCCCTTGCCCTTGTCCACATGTAGGTACCTCACCTCACCTTACCTTACCTTGCTGGGCACGCCTCTTCCCAATCTCCTCATGATGAGTCGAACATCGTGGAAACCAAACACACCGGTCGGTCCGTCACACCCCTCTTCCGCCTCCTCTCGTCCCCTCACTTCTCGCCCAACGGTGTGTGTGCCTTCCTTACTCGGATTTTCTGCTCTCGGGTAACTAGTCAAGCCAAAAAAGACTGTTTCGTGTTCGCCAGTATTGTATGCGAGGGTGGGTGTGTGTACAGATGTTTGAACCCCGCCTCGCCTTTCCCTTTCGTAGATCGAGACAAGAACGAGGGAACTTCGGCAAATACTCAAACTTCAGGGTGATTTCCAAAAGCATAAAAAGATGAAAGTCTTCCTCCCGCTAGAGTGCTAATCTCCTTACCTCCTCACCCCTTTCTTTATACGAACACCACCATCCAGCATTCGCTTCTAGTTGTGCTGGAAGAAGGATCAAAAGGCTTCTTCTTTTTTGTAAACCTTACCCAGCACATCATCCTTTTTCTCCCCCTGAACACGGGCCATCATCACGAGGTTGTTACTTTTTGTTTTTACCTCGGAGCCCTAGATTACGGGTTGTCGTCATTCCTAGTAAAACCATCATCAACTCCTAGTCTCTAGCAGACGTGAACGGAGCAACACACATCAAAGCACAGCATAGGAGAACCAAGAGGAAGAAGATGCGTCTTTCTTTAGTTACAGTTGTATCCCTGGCCACGAGCTCTCTCGCTCTAGCCCTCGTGCCCAGGGAGACTAACAACACCATGGACTCGGAACATTACCCGGGAGGCGGAGGAGAAGGGGGCGGTCGCGGTGGTGGAGAGTGTAAGGGCGGTGACAAGCCGCCCGGTATGCCCGGTGGTGGCGGCGGCGGTGGTGGAGGTGGAGGTCACGGAGGCGGCGGCGAGGGCGGAGGCAAGCCTGGTGAAGGCGGCGGAAACGGTGGTGGAGGTGGCGGTAAGGGTGGAGATGACTGCAAGGGCGGTCACGGAGGCAAGCAGCCGCCTGGTATGCCTCCCGGTATGCCCGGTGGAGGTGGTGACAAGCCTCCCGGCATGCCTGGTATGCCCGGTGGAGGCGGGGGCGGGGGCGGTGGTGGTGGAGGAAAGGGAGGAGATGACTGCAAAGGAGGCAACGGAGGCGGTCATGGAGGTGGTGGAGGCGGGGGCGACAAGCCGGGCGGTGACAAGCCTGGCGGTGACAAGCCTGGCGGCGGTGGAGGCGGAGGAGGAGGAAAAGGCGGCGGCGGCATGACGGAATGCAACTCGTTCCGCATGCGAGCCAAGGGCTCCGTCTCGGGCTGGGTCGGCCAACTGGAAAGCGGCCAGCTGAGAATCGGCCTCGAGCCCGTCATCCTCCGCATGGAAAAGGGCGAGATTGTCGATACCCGCCGACGCGGCATGTGGTGGACTCGTAAGTTTTGAGCCATTCTACCCTCCACTTCCAATAAAACAGATGGACTAACATATGTGAACAGCCCCTACCGAGACACTCCAGTGCGACCCGGGACAGAAGCCCGACAAGGGTTGGAGCGTAGGCTGCGACGGCAAGATGACGTTCCAGGAGCAGACGCGGTACTTCCAGTGCGAGGCCGAGAACCAGACGTACAACCTGTACAAGAAGAACGACCAGGGCGTCAACTGCGGTGAGATTACGCTCTACATGAGTGGTTGTGGGCGTGGAGAGGGCATGGGTGATAAGCCTCCTGGCGGCGGCGGTGATAAGCCCCCCGGAGGGGGAGGTGACAAGCCTCCCGGAGGTGGTGGAGGTGGTGGTGGCCACGGAGGCGGAGGAATGTCTCCTCCTGCTAATGGGACGGCTACCCCTCAGAACGGAACCAAGCCCATGCCGCCTCCTGGAAGGTGATTGTTGAGGTTAAGGATAGCAATCTTGACCTCCGGCTGAGGCTTCAGATGTGTGTTGAGCACACTCTGACTGATTAAAGATTGATGTAGAAGGCATCAGTCTTGGGGATGGATCGCTTCAACGCGGGACCACGAGTTTGTTCACGCTTTGCATGCAAGATGTCCCGTATAAAGTAATACAAGGGAAGGATACTTTTCCTAATCAATACATGTACTCATAAACGCTTCGTCGCGATTCTGATGGCTATTCAGATCTGAACCTCATAGCCAGTTCCCAAAGTAAACCTAGTTCTCCAAGTGAGGAAGAGTTCCATCCAAACTCCTATGACCCAAGTATTGACGATTAATAATCATTCGTCAAAATTCAAATCGCAATATTCGAAAAGACCCGGCTGATCCTCGTCATCCTCGTTCGGAACACCAAGAATGTCATTGGCTTCCTTGACCCAAGACGGCGTCGGACCCGTATTAGGTATCGCAGCCGGGACATCATAGTCATGAGCCATGACAGATTGAGTGCCTTCGCCAAGCCTAGCGCCCATCCAGGCATCCTTTGCGTTCGGCTTGAAGCGCGGATCCTTTATATCCTCGACCTGAGGCGGGGGCATGGCCGGGTTCTAGCCGGGACCAAGCACCCACGAAGCGGCGCTCGACTCTACAAAGCCAGTGAACTCGCCCTTCCTGCCCCACTGGGCGGTGCCAGTCTCGCAGGGCTCGACGTCGAGAATGGCTTCGTTGGTGTGAATGTCGTACGTGACCATGTTGCCGTGAGCATCGGGGCGTGTCTCGGCGATAGGGTTGGGCTCGCCAGTGTACGAATCAATGAGGCAGGTGAGGCGGCCGATGTCGAAGGGGCCGCGGTAGCCGTTGTGAGCGAGGGTGCGCGCGTTGCCGACTCTGACTGCGATCTCCGCTGGAGGTGGGAGGATGTGCCCGAGTTGAGGGCTCTGGAGCAGGTCCAAGTTCCAAGCCGGGCCCGGGGTCGCGAGCAGGTCGTTCGGGGGCAAGGAAGGAGGCGGGTTGTTGGCTGCGAACGTGTTCATGGATGAGAATGCGTTGAAGAGTTCGTTCGGAGACATGGGAGGAGCCAGGAGGCTGAACGAGGAATCGATATTCATTCTTATGCTACTCTGAGTCTGATGAACTTGGCTGCTCAAATGGCCGCGGTTTGTAATGATGAGCTCATCGCTGCTCGACTCGTCGGTGGTGCTCTCGAGCGACGGAGGAGGGAATTTGACACTTCGGAGGGCAGAGGGGATCAGGGGGCTGCTCGACTTCAGAAGCTTCTCCCGGCTGGTCATCTTAACGACTGAGGCTCTTCGGTTCTTGTCCATTTCTGTTTTCGAGATAGTAATTAGTGATATGAAAAGACAAGTAAGAGATGATTAGCTAGGATGGGACGAATCTCACGGAGTCGCGCCTTCAAAGGGGCTTGCTGCCCGGACGAAAGCGCTGCCACCATCGGGTTCTGCACCGGACGGCCACTGGGGCTGAATGTCGTCACATTCGCTGCGATTGATTAGCGGAGAAGCGGGCAAGTTCATAAGCATGGAGGTGAGACGTGCGCGACGAGTGCTGCGGAGATGAGAAATTCATCACCGAGTGCTGGGGGACTCCGATCGGGCCGACGGGACTTGAAGTAATGGATTTTGCTATGTTGATTCAATGAGAAGTGCATCAGATAAATGGTTTTGGCTAATGGGATGAGACTCACGGAAAGAATGTTGCAGAAGGGATGGCGGTATCGTCTGATGAGATGGAGTTGTAGATCGGATGTTGGGGCATGAGACCGCTGAGCTCGCTAAGTTTGATCAGCGAGAATTCGACCCGGCCAAGGAGTATGGGAAACGTACCGGGGCGGAGTTGTGAAGGTGAAGAAGGTCTCAGGCTGGGACGGGGAGGTGTCGGCGTCTGGCTACTTGGAGCTCTCCCAGCAGGAATGCTCGCAGGAGCAGCGCCGTCACCGCCAAATGGGCCCATGAATGCGAGAGGAGCACTGTCATTCATGCCGTTTCTTACCGATGTCTCGATCCAATGCCTTACAGTCGTAGGATTTCCACGTATCTGATCCCCTTGATTCTGGCTTTCATCTTCACCTGGGTGTCTTGTGTCCTTTAGGTTGAGCCTTTCCAAAATCTTAGCCAGGGTCAGGGTCTTCAGCTTTTCGTTTTGCTCCATCGGTATGCCTATGGCGGGCAGAAAATGACTCCAGTTACTTCGAGTAACGCGAATATTTTCGTTTCTGTAATTCTACTGCTCGTTAGCTTCCATTTCTTGGAGGCTCTGTCATCTTGTATTTCGGTTAACGTTTGATTACATGTCGATGACTTACTTGTCCAAGGTGAAATATGATAAGAAAGTGGGAGGTAAGAGAGGGATGAACATGTGGAAGAGATGCGGAAAGTAAAAGCGAGATGGATTATGGGAAGGATATAGCTTAAAGGCACGACTGCTTAGCCGCCGTTCAAGGCCTGTATTCTAGGCCCGTGAGATATCGAGGCACCGAGCCTGACTTCGAGAGGAGTCTTGGACACTGTGAAAGAGTCTTGCTCCGAACAAGGACGAACATCGTCTGGCTGGTGCATTCCTATTGGGTTGCCGTGGCTATGGTGTATGACCCCAGCTTGCTTATCAAGGGAGCATGAGGCCATGAAGTTTTTAAGACCTCGATTCCTTAGACGACTTGCGCAAAAGAGCAAAGTGTTGTGCTAGCGGTGATCAAGTCCTGCTGAGACACGTCGATGCTACAAGTCAAGTCAAGATGAGACTTAGGAAGACTATGGGACTCTGGTTGAGACTCGATACAGAGGATGACGAGTAGCTCCCAAATAGAAAGGCGAATAGAGATGTAGCAAGTAGTCTAGGGGAGAAGTGACAGAACAAATTAGACGGCAGCGTACCGTACATTTGTCTTTGTTCTCATTGTTTCGACTCTCCCTGTGCATGTAGTAAGACTCTATATGTATCCCAGCATGCAGAAAGTCATCAAGAGAAAGGATGGGGATGTGATAAAAGTAAGGAAAGATGACTTGAATCCTTTTGTGAGCCTACAGTCCCCGAACTTTACATGTACTCGGGTTCTGCCAATTAGAATGAAGAAGAGTTGAATCTTCGCCGTGTCTATCAAGATATCTCTATCATTTGTGGTTGGATGAAGTCGAAGAAGCAATGCTCTTCGCTCTGAAGGCTCTGATCGTCATTCAAGTCATCAAATGTAGTCTCCAACTCCAACTCAAACGTACCAATTCTTTTGTAAGCTGGCACACCGTTCAACGAACTTCCCCCATTCATCTTGACTGGCTGTAGAAGCAGTCCGAGTATAGTCCAGTCGGCAGAGTACCCGCGCACTCTCTTGATCTCCAGTGCCATGTACCCCCCGGAGCCTGCAGATTTGACGTCTACTTCATCTAGGCAATCAAGATGACAGCTGATGTTTCTGGTACTCATGAGCTTCGTCCCTGAGTCAAGAACACCTTGTGAGCTCGGGGGACTGGCTATATCAAAGACATTTTCTGGATCGTCCCTTGAGTCTCCTGTGGGATGATTGATGATGGTGGCTGCCGCAAGCCTCCCATGAAGTCTAAGCCGACCTGAGTCGCCACGGACGTCGCCGTAGGGCGCTTTCTTGTTCACCGGCTCGGCAGAAATAGATATGACTTCGGCGTGGTAGACCTCCGTCGCATCCGTTACATCGCCTTCGAATGTAGGGATTTCCCAACCGTCACCCAAAGCCACGTATGCTCTCACACTACTATTAACTGCGAACCACGACCACGAAGGCCCCTGATAGGCCGCCGCCCGATTTCGTCGCTCATCTTGCTCCACTCTCCAGAGCAACTCGTCGCGGATGCTCCTTTTCCAGAGACCAGCGGCGTATTCATCGCCAGTCAACACAGCAAAGCGCTCCGCGACTCCCGACATGGCCAGAGCGCGATCAGTGTTGAAGGATAGAGTACGACTGGTGTAGATATCTACCAGTGCGCCCCACGGGGATGGAGTCTTTGAGCAGTAGCCCCAGTTGAAGGAGTCCTGCCTGAGGTCATTGGGCTCTGCAATCTTTCCCCAGCCGTCGGTTGCACCCTCACCGACGTCGAGGCCGTATAGCGTGTCGTTCCCGGTGATTGACGGAATTGGTTCTTGACAGCTCCATCTAGTTTGCCGGGACCCGAACTCGACGATTCTGACAGATAAAAGACGTTCTTGAAAAGTCCACCCCCGCTCGTCAATAGGCTCGGGCCCTGCCTCCATCTCGACCAAGGTAATCGATCCCAGTTCGCCCTTTTCGGACTGCCAGGAGAGAAGAAATGCTTGATCAGACTCTTTGAAACACTCTCTGTTCTGGAGAAACCCTTCCCACGCAGTCTTGGCTCTGGATGCCATAATGGTGAAGGACGCTTGACCGTAGATGTACGGCATCTTGGCGATTTCCAAAATCTTTTCGTCGTTGCCTTCATTTTGAATGATGCAGAGAGCATCGACCCAGACATACTCAACTCCGAGCTGCGAGCAGACTTTGACAGCGTCCTGTATCGTCCGAGGCAGTTTTTCAAAGGAAATATCCTTTGTGAATGCCTCGAGCGTAGCCGTCTCGCATTTCACCGTCTGGTTGCCGCCCCAGCAATAGCTCAAAGCTGCGAATCTAGGTAGAGGATTGAGATTCGCCGTATCTTGCAACCGCAGCGAATAGCTCCCTGCTCTAGAGTTGTAATCAATATAAATCAGCCTAATAGGCCTGAGTGCCGACGGCCCAGACTGCGTCTTCAGCTCCCGACACCTTTCGTGCTTATCCTCGCAATCTGCCAGCCATGACTTCACTGCAGGCAGACAACACGCAGGATCATTCTGTATCGGCCGCGTCCAGAAGTCTCTGGCTGCCGGGTTATCATGAGGCGTACATATCTGCAGACCCTTGACCGTCCTATATGAGACGAGCTTTGTGCGCGGGTCCCAAAGCCCAAAGAATTCTATAGTCAGGACGTCTGGAGTGTGGTCACCACCAATACGGAATGGGGGGTTCGTCTCAGCTACGAGTACATAGTCGACGTACCCGTCGCTGCGGCCCTGGACGGCGTGGCGAATGGAAGGAAGCCTGTAGTCCGGGTCCTTGTCAATCTGGCCGTGGAACTGCTCGAGCTCTTCGAGGTCCATCTGGTAGACCTCGCCGGATATGTTGTCGACGCATTCGCCAACGTCTGGTCGTGCGATGCACTCCCCGTCGAGTATCCAGTCTATAAAGGCACATGTTTTCTGCTGGGCTGTGAGAAGATCTGTGAGACTGGTCTCGAATACGATCTTGTTCCACCTGGCGTCGTGTCTGTCGCCCCGGTTCCGATGCGGGATATCGGCTTCGGCGTGGATGACGAGGAGCCTGCGACACCGCTCGCATGAGTGAGACCCTGGTGATGGTGAGGGCATGATTGGCGAAGACATCTCGTTATCAAGGCATCATAGTATTGGAAGGGCCCTAAGAGCGAACTCGGCAAACATTGGCCGTGATAACGAGCTATTGGGTTGACATCGTAGCCCTACCATCGGCGAGGGGTGTGGACTAGATTGAATCCGCATATCCAATAGGCACTTGACTGTTGATGCGCGATTGTGGATGCCTGCAGACTTATGCATGTCAGACTATTGACCAGGGGCTTGTCAGCTCAAGGGGTCCCGAAAAGTGGTCTTGATTAACACCTAATCGAATCAGTGGATCAAATCTGCAGCCTGAAGATGGCGATGAAGTTCCAGAAGTTCCTTCGTTGAAGAAGAGTGTATTCATTATAATTACTATTCCAAACCGCGAATCACTCACTTCTTGAGAAGATCCTCAACCTGCGAGGTGATGTCCACCATCGGGAAACTAGTCCTGTTCCCAGAAGTCGAGCCCGCAACAGGAGCATCCGCAAAGAACTCCTCAACCATGAACAGACTGTCGCCGACTTGCACCGGAGCAGTGACAATCCCTCCTTGAGCATCGGTGGAATTATTCGGTACCGTGCCAAGGTGCTCGGCAGACTTCCAGGACCCATCATTTGACCGCAAAACAGTCACGCCTTTGGTATTCTCGGCGATAAGCAACACCTTTCCACCGTACCTTGGTGGAAGATAGATGGCATCGGTGCCCGCTAGCGTCACATTCGGCGATCTCGGTACGAGCACGGGAGCGCCCTTGTCCGCTTTCATATCGAACCGGTAGATCTGGGCGTCCTCGTTATTGTTGGACAGCAGGATATTGCCAGTGGCTGCGAGGCCGGAGAAGCCCATTTTCGTGTGGTCAATCTTCACGGGGAGGTACCACGGGACGACAGCAGAGCCTTGGCGGTCGACTTTCATGATTGTACCCGGGAACGAGCCAACGACGTAGGTGTTTCCGTGGGTGTCGTGCTCAATGTCCTGGAAGCCTCCGTATGCCCCTCTGGTCACGGCCGTGATGTTCTTGTTCCACAGGACCTGCTTCTTTGCCGGGTCGTACTTGATGATGAAGTTGTCACCCGACACGTCTTTGCCGCCGGTATTGAAGGGGGCGGCGGCGTCGACTACAATCGAGACTAGTTTGGTGCGAGTGTCTACCTGCACGCCACCAATGTGCAAGGCAGGGTTGTGCGTGATGCCATCGAACGTCAAGATGTCTAGGACGGTGTCCTTGTACGGATCATAAACTACAACGCTAGCGTTGAACAGTGATCTTGCCTCTGCCTTAGCACCATGATTCATGTCTGGGCTTGTACATATAAGCTTACCCAAAGTAGACGATGCAGTTGTTGACGTCCCAGTCCGCATTCTCGGGATAGAGTTGGTACTGTTGAACGACAAAGCTGCCCTTCTTCAGAGGCGGACATTGTCTCGCTGGCTTCGGTGAGCTTTCTGCTTGAGAAATCATGCACAGAAGGAAGGACAGAGCTACTGCTACGTGCTTGAAGCTTCTCATTGTAAGCTGCGTTGGACGCCACGGGCGTCACGGCAAGTTGCAGAAAGTTAGGAACGAAAGTGGTGAAAGCAATGACGGAAATAAGACTCTGGGCATTTTCAGCTACTAAGACGGATGACCACCTCCTAAGTATCATCTTTAGATGACGATGAACATGGGTCAAGTAGGCGACTAGACTCCGCTCTCCTCGAAATCCAGGTGGACACTGCTCGAAAGAGCTGCTAGTGGTCATTTACTCATATAAATGCTTGCATTCCCGTCGTGAGGAGAGATGTTGAACGCCACATGGTGCCTGGGACAGGACCCTTAATTAGAAGGGATGACCTTGGGTGGCCCGAACCCATCCGGCACCGTCCCTGGACGATAGAACCGGCAGTTATGAAAGCATTGTCTGGGCGTTTGAGGTGACAAGCAGGTTCCGGATGTCGACATCGGCAATGGCCAGACACACAAGCTTTGATCGGAAATTGGATGAATATCGACTCATTCTTCAGTGTTGCATTGGAGTCTTGGGCTACTCAGATTGCGGGACTTCGTCACTGAGGTCTTCATTAAAGTGACTGTAAATTACATCAAGGTTGGTAAGCATTTATTCAACTCGCTTGGGCAGTTTGTCAGTCAACGTAATATAAGAAGCTCAACGGCAAAAGTAAGCAAGGTGGCACTTCCACGTATGAGGAGTTCGTGGTTTTGCGCTGGCCCACTTGGAGATAGAACTGAGATGCTCGGCGAGCCCTGTAGCTTCCCCTTTGATGGCCATTAAGTTTGCAGCAAGGTCCACCTGTCGAACTTTACAAAGTTTGACGAAGCTTTGGGGAGAGGTGCCGACCAATCAATCCGACGTCAGCGAGGCGGCGCAACGTGGAAGCAAGGAAGAGTCGTAGCAGACACGGTTGTGAAGTCAAGATTGAGAGGCTTGAGGTCACAAAAAGACCAACTATGTTACGGAGGCTGATGAAGCATGTGAGGATGGCAATCGGATGCAAAAACACTGGATTGATGAAAAGCCCATGAAGATTTGCAAGTGAATGTTCCTTCCTACTTTCCTGTGCTCCTTCCTGCGTACAACGGTTGGACCCACTTGGCGCGCTGTTAAGCTTCTGGCCCTTTCTCGCTGGTTTATCCAAAAGGGGACACAAGGTACCTACCTTACTTGTAGGTAGCTAGGCGATAAGCGGCAGGTATGTAAACAAATAACGGGTCTTCGGCGCTACCTAAGCTGCCGCACTGCGGGGATGCTTCTAGCGGGGTGTACTGTACCTAAGTATCTCATTCTATGGTTCTTAAATGCTCCAATTCTTCCATTCCCATATTCCTTTTCATCAGGCTTTCTTATTATCGTCGACGAGACCGCTCTGATTCGATAAGAAGATGCAAATACCCTTCCACTGATACTAATTCGGTTCATGCTTGATTACTTCCTGGTCCTCGCCTTTTGGTAAGACTTCTCAGGTCTTTCTAATCGCCGTTGCGCGGATCCGAGCAATTATTCAACAAGTGGTCAGCACTTGGAACTCTACTACCACCCATCACCTTGCCAAGACTTGCCAATGAAATGACCCGAAAGGTCGAGGTCGGCCATCGGGCGAAAACTAGCAGGCCACCAGGTCTGGGTACCATCTCTCTCTCTCTCTCTCTCCCCGTACCTCTTCCATCCAGGCGGCAGCAGCGAGACACGCATCTCGACTTTCACCAGCCCCAGCCTCCTTGCTTCAGACAAGGGCCTCAGTCATATACGAAGTCCAATAGCGGAATAGGCCGTCTCGGCTACACTTGGTAGAAGCAGTCATCGTCACATCGGCCGCTGACCCATCTGCCGGTGGAAGATCAATTTGATCAATTCTTCAATGGTCATCCAAGACCGACTCCGAGAGCACGGGTTTCGTCGCGAACTTTACTACACCAAGTTTGGCATGAAGCAGAGGGGCGTTTTCGATGAGCATCTCATCTATCAGTATCCGTACTCCCTAAACCATGCGCCTCGGCTGGTTTCCCTGGCCAGCCACACGTCGACGAGCCATGGGGTTGGCTGCCGTTCCCACTGAGATCGCCAGCATCCAAGGGGGGCCCCATCTATGATCTGGGCCGAGCCATAAGGGCTTAAGCCACTCGGCATCGCCCCTGAGAAAGCTTACTTCTGCTCAAGCGTTCCCGCATGTATCCGTTTTACCCAACCACCAAACGTTGTGTGCCGCGATTTGTCAATATTCGGCCTCCCTTTTTCGACTTATCTTCCCCTCCATCTCCCCAGACCACACGATATGCCTTATGATCCGCTCGCTTCTCCAAGTGGACCAAAGAAGATCTTACAACGTCGTGAGTAAGAGATCGGACGGCTCGTCCCACGTATCGCGTAGCGTACAATGGCTCTACGGAGTACTTTAGAGAGGTTGGAATCCTCAGAAAGAGGGTACCAGCGCGTTTCTTCTGGTAGCCAAGACCCTGGGCAGGGTGTTTCGCAGCATGCCTAGCTCAATGGAACATGTCTAGCCCTCCGAGGCATCCCTTTTCTGATATGCAGAACCGGCGCTTGTGCAGGCTGACAAGTCGGTTGTTGAATGCGACGCCAAATCTGTACCTATGGCCGTCGCACAAGTGTTATCTGATATTCCTAGCCACTTGGGCGAGAGATGGTCCAGTTGCAGCTCTTCCGTCCCAAGACATGGCGTATTAGAAGCACAATGTCACCCACCAAGACCGTCTTATCGTCTGCCTCCTCGATTTCCTACATATCTCGTCCGTTGTGTCGCATTTTACAGACGTCTTGCGTCGGACTGTTACTGTCTTGCTTTCCGTTTCGAATTCGATCTTCCTCCTCTTTCGCCCTTTCGATTCCAGCATTTCCAGCGCTCCCGCTGTTTTAGTGGTATTCGCGTTTCGATATCACCAATTCCACGCCTTTTTGCACCGGCTGGCTACAGGCAGTCAATTCCTCTGGTTGTAAACATCTGCAATGAAGGCATTTCTTGCACGGGATAGAGTTGCCGAGTCGGCTTCTACGTCCGATGACGAGACCGTGGTCGCCGTACAAGATGGAGTCCGCTTGAATGCCGCGGGCTACAAGGATCAATTAAATCGCCAATATGGTTTCTTTGGACTGGCAAGCATGGCTCTGACGGTGGACAATGCCTGGGTTGCCTTGGGATCGTCCATTTCTGTATCAATTCGTAAGTTCTACAAGACGCTTGTTGCTTGCAAGCCGGACGTTGTAACGAGCCGGGATCAATCTAGTCAACGGTGGCCCACCCGGCATCATTTACGGCCTCCTCGTCGCCGTCTTTTACTACTCCCTCATCGGCTTGAGTTTATCAGAGGTTTGTCTTACTAATCCCAGTCTCTTTATCCCTCCTCTCGTTTGCAAAGCAATGTGAATATCAACGAGTGACACCTTTCTCCAAGCTCGCTTCAGCAGTCCCCACGGCGGGCGGCGTCTACCACTGGGCCACCATCGCCGGCGGTCCTCGCTGGGGCCGAGTCCTCGGTTTCTTCACCGGGTGGATCAACTTCTACGGCTGGCTCTTCTCGCTCGCAGCCCTGCTGCAGATCTCGAGCAATGTGGCCGTGAGCATGTACGCCGTCTGGAACTGGGACACCTACGTCAGCCAGCCCTTCCACGTCTTCATCGGGTACCTCATCATCCTCTGGGGGTGCGCGGCCTTCATTGTTTTTGCTAACAAGTATGCTCCGTACACCCAGCAAGCCGGAACGATATTCGTATTGATCGGCGGCGTCGTCACCATTATCGTTCTGGAGGCGATGCCGAAGCAACATGCGAGTAATCACTTTGTATGGGGCTCTTTCGACGAGAATAATGCCACAGGGTGGTCAGGGGGCGTTGCTTTTCTCCTGGGTGTTCTTAACGGCGCCTTCACGATTGGGACTCCTGACTCGGTAACCCACATGGCTGAAGAGATGCCACATCCCAAGAAGGATCTCCCAAAGGCTATCCTTTTGCAGATATCCCTTGGCTTCGTTTGTTAGTCAACAGTTTGCCAATATGTCGAGCCCACAACTGACCATTGATAGATGCCTTCTGCTTCGCCGTCGCATTGTCGTACGCAATCACGGACATTACGGCTCTCCAAGGAGGCTTCAACTCTTTCCCGCTGACCAACATTTACGTGCAAGCCACTACCAGCAGCGATGGAATCCGAAACCCAGGCGCAGCGTTTGGTCTGCTATTCATCATGCTGGGCTGTACGCTGACGTGTTGCGTGGGCCTGACTTTGACGGTGAGATCACCATGCACTTGAGCTTGTGAAGTTCCAGTCGCTGATATCGTTCTCAGGTTTCGAGAACCTACTGGGCGCTCGCACGCGATAATGCTGTGCCACTATCCAATGTCTTCGCTCAGGTTAATGAGCGCCTGAGCTGTCCAATTTGGTCAACCTTGTTTGTCTGTACGTCACCGCGTTCTCGTCCTTTTCCAACCTCAAGACTTTGGAGACTAACATGGATCATCCAGGCGTCGTCGCAACCGGACTGGGCGCCATACCCCTCGGAAGCTCAGCAGCCTTCCTAGCACTGGCAAGCTCGTTCATCATTCTGACATCCGTCTCATACGCCATCCCATTCGCAGCGAACATGCTCTCGGGACGAAAGTACTTCCCTCGTGGACCCTTCCATCTGGGAAAGGCGGGATACATCATCAACGGACTGGCCGTGCTATTCATTGTCTTGTTTGATATCATGTTTTGTTTCCGTAAGTCCTTGTTCGTTCCATAACTCTGGCCAAGCCTTAACAAGTACATCAGCATTCGTGTTGCCCACAACGGTAACGACGATGAACTGGAGTGCAGTCATTCTGGTGGGAACTGTGGCGATCACGGGACTGTGGTGGGCGGTCCACGCGGTCCATCATTATCCTGGACCCAAGGTTATGGATCTTTACATTGCTACCGAAGGTGTAAGCCCTGTCGCCACGGAGAAGAACACCACAGCTGTCGCTTCGTCAGAGTTGAAGGAACCTCACGCATTGCAATGAATATGCTGGGACTTATCAGAGAAGAAGGTAGTTGATGGAATTAAGATATGATGAGTCAGCTTATATCGGTTCTCAAAGCTCTCTGAACAGGAGGGACCAAAGATCATATCTTGACGTCTTCCTCAAAAGCACACCGAAAAGCACACCGAGAGCGCGGTAGGAAACCGGTGAATTGACCAACCAGACACGACGAAACTCATCTTACGATACGTACCCCAGAAATGGATGCGTCATGGTCCCTGTCATCCTTATCGATAAGTTATCTACCGTTTGCCGCAAAGAATCTCGAGCTTCCTCGGTCGCATTTCTCTCTTTCCCACCAATTCTCCCACATCATTCTGCTCCCCTTCGTTGACTCTCTCCCCTCGATCTTCGCCCACACCACTATAGGCACCAGCTTCGGCACAATGGGATCATCCTCTTCAAAAGCCGCGCAAGGCGCCGCGCGCAAATTCCCGACCCGCGCTCCGGGCGCTGTACCACCACCGTCAACCGCCGCGAGAGCAGCTCCCGCTGCCCCTCCGACGCAGCCCCCGCAGGCTCAGTCGCGGGCGAAGACGGCGACACTCAAACCAGAGGGTTCGTCTTATTCTCTAGATAGCGGACTTGTATTACCTTCATGAATCCAAAGCTGACCGCCACCACCCAGATCTCACGTCCGCTACAACCACCACAAATCCCGAAGTCACCGCCGAATTCTCCTCGCGCCTCCGCCAAATGGGCATCGTCCAGCCGAACCCAACCTTCTCCTCCACATCAACAGCCAGCGCCGGCCCCGGTCCCGTCGCAGGCAGCCGCCCCGGCCCAAGTCCTCACGCAGACTTGATCCAGAACCCGGGCCCCTTATTCCCTTCCACATCCCGCAACGCGACGCTCGGCACCCTCGAAGCCAGGCGTCGGCTGCAGCAGGAAGCCGATGCTGAGTTTGACGGGCTCGGACGCAGTAGCAGTGGCGGCAGAGAGTTTCTGGATTTGAAGACGATTATCCAGATGCACCTCATGCGCGAGAGGGGACACTCGCCCGCTGAGATTGAGGCGAGGTTAGATTTGAAGGCTGGGGTTGTTGCGAGGTTGGGTCGGATTGGGATCACGTCGCCTGCTTGAGTTGGCTTTCACGCACAGAGAGAGTGTTTGTTGAAAGTTGTTGAAGGTGTATAAAAAATGTAATTATAGGTATACTGCTCTACAAAATCCGCAAAAGCTCCCAAACTCCTCCATAGTCTTTAGAAATAATTAACGACTAATCATCAAAAGACCCAAAATCAATCATTAAACCCGCTTTTTCTTTGTCCAGTCAGCCCCGGGGTGTTTACCAGGCACAGTGTCCGCCGTCGATGCGCAGGTCGCTGCCCGTCATGAAGCTGCTGGCGTCGCTGAGCAGGAACACGGCGGCACCGCGGTACTCGCTAGGCTGGCTGAGCCTGTTGAGCATGTTGTGCTTGGGCCACTCGACCTTGCGCTCCGGGTACTCCACGAAGAGCGCCTCGACCATGGCGGTGACGATGTAGCCGGGTGAGATGGTGTTGACGCGGATGCCGTGGGCGCCCCATTCGGCGGCCAGGTTACGGCCGAGCTGCAGGACGGCGGCCTTGGATGCGTTGTATGCGCTATAGTACCAGTGTCAGCCATTTTGATACTGTTTTGATGGAAATCAAGTTTGTTGGTATAATAAGACTTACGGGCAGATCAACCCCCTGTTGGCAACGGTACCGCTCATGCTGGCAATCAAGACGATGCTGCCGCCGGTGCCGAGGCGAACCATCTGGCGCGCGACGGCCTGGGCGGTCATGAAGGAGCCAGTGACGTTGACGCCCATCATGCGGTCGACGTCCTCGGCCTTGTACTCGAGCGCGGGGGTCTCCTGCTGGATGCCCGCGGCGGCGATGAGGCCGTCCATGCGGCCGTGCTGGTTGGCGATGCCCTCGACAATGTCGTTGAGCTGTGCGACGTCGCGGACGTCAACCTGGTGGTAGGAGAGAGAGGTGCCGAGCTCGGCGGTGGCGCGGAGGGCGACCTTTTCAAAGTCGGGGTCTGGGGTGGGGAGGCGGTCGATGGCGTGGACTAGGGGGTCGATATTAGTCTTGCGCTTTGCATTTGTGTAATGACACATCTAGAGAGCGTGTTTCTCCCGAAGAAAAGACAGAGAGGGAGAGAGAGTTGAAGATTGTTAGAAGAGTTGATTCTTTACCTATCGCGCCAGCTTCGAGGAGGGCCTCAGCCTGGGTGAGACCGAGTCCACGCGCGCCGCCGGAGACGACAATGACCTTGCCCTGGAGGCTGAACTCGGGGAGGCCGCGAGCGACCTGGGGGGCCGTGGCGCCGAGGCCAAGGGACTTGGGGGTCGAGTTGAAGCTCCTCTCCTGCGCGACGAGGGGGTTTGCGGGTGCCACGACGGGGGCTTCGACGGGCTGTACTGCGAGTCTGGGAAGTTTCCTTGGGGTCAGATGAGGTACAATGAGACGGAGTGGCCGGACGCGGGTTAGGTACCGTGACATGTTGCTGCCGGCTTCAACGAGAGCTGCGGGAGACATTTTTCTTCTGCTGTGTGTTTTTGGTGGAGGTTCCTGGATAGGAGGATGGGAGGGAAGAGGCCTTCTTGTTGGCTTCTTCAGGTATCTAGATGATGCGGTTGGTTCCGTGAGAGGTAGTTTGATGACGGAGGTGGTTGATGCTAGTTAAGACTAAGACGGGCCGAGATGGGAGGGTGTGTTGGACCAAATGGGTTGATAGTTGAAAGTCAATGGAACTCTGATAGAGCTTGCTTATTGTCTATAAGACGAGAGGAGTGATGATGATGAAAAGTGTGTGTGATAGTGAAGAGAGACTAAGTGATTAGGACACCATCGTGAAGTCGTCCTCTTATACATCGTCGAGCTCTACCTTTCACCCTTTTCCCAATGGGATGAGCTTCCCCGCACCCACGTCTCGTCCCATTGCTTCCCACGCCTCTCACACCCCCTCACCGTCTAAGTTCTTCCCGTCATGCCATGACCCTTGGCCCATGGTCCATTACCCCCATGGCAAGATCAAGATCAGCAATCCCGAGCAACAATGAGCATCCGTTTTAGCAACCAACGGGTTAGCGCCGGCCGTGGCGGGCGAAGGAACAAGGGGATGGGATTGGACTGAAGGGGGAGCTTGCGTTATGGTGAGCTGTCTAGGATTGTCTATACTAGGTCGTACGTATCGTCTCTGCCGGTTCCGGAAATGGACTGGTGACGAGACGTCGGGCTCGCTCGTGTGCCGTCAAGTTACCGGTAACAGATACCTACTGCAGTGTGTCTACCTAGTGCGTGGTATCAAGCTCGAAGCTCCCTTCGCCTCATCTTTTCTTAGAAACGGGAACCCCTCGCACCACTGTTTTTTTGCTGCTCGTTGGAGTCTCTGCGGGACCTGCAAATCTAAGGTTTGTTCGTCCACGCCGGCGGGTACGTTTTGTTGCATGCCATGGGCAGCATGTGCAGCAATCGAGCTCCAGACTTCTCTCTCATCGAGGGCTAGAACCTTCAAAGATGGGTCTGCGATGTCCGAGACAGGTCATGCGGGATGTCAGATTTCAGAATAGAGATTGGAACGCCCCCGCCTTGCCCCCGTGTTCCCGTGTCTCTGAGTCTCTGCGTGGACTCCCCCCGGTTCCCTGGTTCCAAAACTGCTTCCAAAGGCTCCGGGAAAGCAGTTGGACGCGCTCCCGCGTGAGAGTCTAGTCTTTGCTTAGGAGAGAGACATGGGGGCATGGGAACATGGGGGCAGGCAATCGGGAATACTCCACCTTTGGACCCCTCCGCTCGCGGCGGAAACTCAACCGGCTGCCCGCGGTGCGGAAAATCGGTTGGTTTACCGAAAGAACCACATCAGGATTCACCACTTTTTCAAGTTTCCACTGGCATGAAACGGAAAATGGCAGATTCAACTACCACCCGTTGGGCTACGAGACACCCCCGACATGTCTGAACTCCAGTCTCTATGTCTCTGAAAAGGGCTCTGGTAAGGCTTTCGTGGGGCTTGGCTCCATTTCTCATTCCCAAACTCATATCTGGCCACAGCCGCCACACTATTGGGACGGAACTGCGGATGTTTGTTGCTTGAGCACTCAGACTGTCAGAGACTCAGAGTCGTATCGAGAAGCTTCGTGAGAATGGAGCAGAAAAAATCAAGGGACCTAAACTGGGTCTGAACTGCAACGTATGGTCCAGAACTCACATCCACCCCCATTCTCATCCCTGCCTCTGAGTTTCCAGAGTCCAGACCAACATTCACAGATACCTGAGTAACCTTACCTGGGCGGCGGAAACCTACACGTCGGTACACATCCAGATAGCCACTACTGCGCACGCTAGGCACTTGGACTGCGCATGTCAACCAAACAGAGACTAATACGGTAAGGTAGAGAGTTTCGAGCGGTGGGGAGACAGCTGCGTCCGGGGGAGAAATGCGGAGTGCAGTGTTGCTTTGCGCATGCGGTCCCGGTCCACCGGATTGCTCCTTTAGGAAATCCGAGCTGCTCATCCCTTTCTCGTCCCTCCTTGATCCCTCCTCGTCCCTACTCACCCCTACTCCATGCCTTTGCTCACTGATACCAGAGTGGCAGAAGCTCAGAACGAGTATCAAACTATTTGCCTTTTGTGATCATGTGTGTTGTATCTCACTGCCTGCGCCACCAACAAACTGGAACCCAACAAAATGAAGAAGCAAAACCCAAAGATCGGTCAGCAAACCCATCATTCAAATGTCAGACATTCAAGCATCTGATGTCTTCGTGACGCCGCAGGATCAGCTTGCCCCCCCTTCACCCCATCCTCCCCCTATCCCGTGCTCGGCTCCGTACGGATATCCCGTAGGCTATCCCGTACCGCAAGTCCGCAACCCAGCACCCCGGGGCCAGATCAACACAACACGCAAGCCTGCGAGGGTTTGATGGTCTCGTGACTCTCGGGACCATCGTGAACTATGCCGACACCTCCGGCCATGACCCAAAAGACCACTTATCCTCCAGCCTCTGCACCCCGGCGCCGCTATCGCCATCGCCCTCGCCGCCCCCTTCCCTGGCGATCCACCGCTGCACGCCCCAGAACGCCTTGAGGTACGATATTCCCAGCGCAAAGTCCTCAAACCCGATCGATAGCCCCGTCACGGCCATCTTCCTCCTCACGAATCTGCCCTTGGCATCCGCCGCAGCGTTCGGGGCCGCCACCAGCATCACCCAGAGGAAGATCCCCGGGATCCCCTTCCACGTCGTCATGCTCACGCTCGTCAGGCTGGCGTACGCTGCCTGGAGCATATCAGCGTCGTCGAACCGCGAAATATGGCGCAGAGACTTGATGGACCAGCTGTAAATCACGGCGGCGATCCTGACAGTCTCGAGGATCCGTTCCTTTTCGGTGGAGGGGGAGGAGGCGACTTGTGTGGGTCTCGTTGCTGCCATTGCTGTGCCTTGCTCCCGCAGCTTTTCGTATAGCCACGATGCGGTTGATCGAATCTTTGATTTCCTCGACGCCGACGCCATCGCCGATGCCGATGTGACGGAATCCGTGAGGAACCGCACGTCGTCTAGAATATTGGCCGTCGCGCCGCAGATGCCGAGCTTCTCTGCGATACTCTCGAACCGCGGTGCGGGCGCCAGTAAGGGGCTGTCATAACAGTCTGGCCATGTTGTCGGGACGGGTATCTCCTCGTCACGGGCTGGATCATTTTCCAACCAGTAGAGATCCGTCTCAAAGGCACACGCAATCTCATAGTCAGTCCTTTTGGATGGCATGAGCATAACTTTTTATGACTTGATACGAACTCACTTACAGAATTATGACCGATTCGCCTACTACATCTCTCAGCCCTCGCATGCCTTTACGGAGTTTAATCATGCGCTTGATGCCTCTCATGTGAGCAAACATGCTCTCGTCGGCTCCCCAAAACCACTTTGAGAAGACAATCAGCTTCCAGTTGAGAATGGTTCACAAAGCTGTCACCGGGACAAGACGCTGCACTCACCTCCATGACGACCAGATTCACAATGCACCGGACCATCTCAACCGCGATAGCGTCGAACGGTCGCCGCATGTAGTCCGCTATCATTGACAGCACCCAGGACTTTAGGGCGAGCGACTCGGGGCTCTTTGCCACTTCCGTCCCTCGTGCAAGCGACTGGGTCATCGAGGACATGAGGATGCCGATATTGGGAAACAGAGGGGATTGCAGCATCCACGGCAGGACCTCTTTGAGGAACACGGGCGGCTGGCTCTGACCGTCAATCGATACCATGTTAGGTGCGACGAATTGGACGTCTGTGGGCGGTCTCGTCAGCTACCAATGCTCCAAGGGTGATGATACTGGCGATCTTACAGAAATGTAAAAGCTCCGTCGTTCTGGGACCTTCCGGGAGTGGCATGCCGTGAAGGGTCGTAACTTCCGTGAGGATGCCACCGATGGATGCTATGCCATTGTGAAAGAAGGCCTGGGGGTCCCCATCTCCATCGAGAAAGAGGTTGGCGCGAGTCTTGCTCTCCAATACGGCCCTCTCCTCTTCTCGATGGCCCTCACAGCAGTCTCCCCCGTGGCTTGCGTGATCATGAGTCGCAAGGCACCTCGACCTGAGCTGTTCCCTGCACCGATTTCGAACGGGAAGTCGACCCGGTAAGCCCAGAGACGCGATACCGGGTAACGAAGTGGCACATAGACCGTGTGAGGTTACCTCTGCCTGCTTCCCTGATTTCGAGGGAAGCGAGGACAGGTCAAAGGTGAGGACCTGTGTCTCGTACACGGGTTTCGGGAGACATGGCCCAAGTTGGACAATGGTACACTCCACAGGAGGGAAACGCCTCGAGCAGTTGACGCACTGCGTCTCGGGCTGTCGTATTATGCACTATGACATGTCCATTCTTTCAGTCTTGCATGACCTCGATGGGATTCAAATGATCAGGTTCGGGTCGTTCCTGGGCATGTAATACCGTTACATAGCGGGTGACTTGGTGTCGATCTGTGTTGGACTTTTGGTCAACTCACCTTCTGCTTCCGCCTTTGACACTCGGTGCACGATTTCTGGAGCCTCGCCCGTCTCTTCGCGGCGGTCGGCGGCTTTGACGATTCAGAGGCCATGATACTCGATTCATGATACTCAGCTCAGTGTGTTGAAGATGAAGCAAAAGTGAGAGGGGAGCGAAGCACTAGATCCGGCCTTTGAACCACTGACACGCGCTCAATTCAGCCACGGCTGAGAGCTGAATGAGATATAGGTCCATGTCTCGATTGAGAGATAGTACGGGATAAGATGAGTGGACGAGCACCTGAACCAACAGGGCGCTTTTGACATTCTCTCAACACATTGTTTGCTCTGCCTCATTTGTCCCTTTTCGGATTGATGCATTTTGATGCATTCAGCGCCGACTTTCCCCCCTCATTTTGTGTCTCACGAAGGTCACGTACGATTTGACGATTTGTTTCCGTTACTGTGAGGCGTCGGCCTTTGGAGAGATCGACACCAGCTGGCGGCGCTTACTTGCATGAAAAGGCTGCCTGCGGGACAAGACACGGTCTGTGGGTGGGAGTATCCCCGGCGGTGAGACGGGATGGAAGATGCGAGATGAACCTGGCTTTTTCGACAGTTTTTACACCCTAGAAACAGAGAAATGAGTTTCTATAATAGAAATGAGTTCCGCATCACGACATTTGCGTCTATTCTTTCGCCATCGAGCGCCTGTAGTCAATTACATTTGCTTTGAAACTCAATGACAATCATGGCCGGTCAGACGCCAACGAATATCACCGGCGGCTGCCTCTGCGGCTCGGTCAAGTACACCGTTGCCGGCGGATTCGGATTCGGAGTTGTCTGCCACTGCAACAGCTGCCGCAAATTCACGGGTTCGTCCTTTGGCGCCAACAGCTTAGTAGAGACAAAGGTACGATAAGATACCTGCTCCTGCAAGATTCCAGCTATCGGCTACTGACCAATTATTCAAATAATATAGAACCTCACCGTCGAAGACCCGGAGAAGAAGATCAAGGTCTACAAGGCTGGGACGTCCAACTCGGGCAACTCGCTGGAGCGCTCTTTCTGCGGCGCCTGTGGCTCTTCGCTATTCGTCATCAGCGAAAAGGATCCCGGCCGGATCGCCGTCACGTCCGGGACGATGGATGACGTGCAGGGCGTGGAGGGGGGTGGCGTGGAGCTGTGGAAGCCAAAATTAGAGTTCTTCTGTATTCGCAAGGCGAAGTGGTTGACGACTGTTGGAACTGCGCAAAAAGATACGATGTGAACGGTATATACTGCTTCAGATGGCTTTGATCTTGGCGTTAGGCTGTGTTTCGTGTGGTTGTATGCAAGGTGCAAAGCAAGGCGGGAACCACGAAATGCAAACAGCTTCGTCCAGGCCGTCCCATTCTATCTCGTGACTCAGATGCAATTCGGAGACGGAGAAGGAAAGATATCTGCCCCCGCTCGGAAGGCTGGTTTGAATGATTATTGATATCAATTTGTGAATGCTGCATCACGCCGGCGGACTGGTATCGTCGGCACCTTCGGCCGTGTCGAGCGGCGGCGATGGACTCCACCTGCAAAGTGGAGATCGCATCCTCCGGCCGGGGGCGATCTTTGATTGCTGGAGAAACTTAAGCCGAGCTCGACCGCCGGCGACAACCAACGAGGACCAACAAGGACCAACGAGCTGTTGGTTGGAAAGCTCCAAGTCACACAATTAGAGACTCTTCAACCAACTGCAATTCTATTCTTGGCACTGCCATCCTACTTTAGACATACCATCAGAGATCATCAAAATGACCTCTCATGAAGATGGACCAATCTTCCTCAACCCCATAATCCCGGGCTTCAATCCAGACCCAACAATCTGCGTAGTTCCGGCAACAGACTCAACCCCGACGACGTATTTCCTATCTACTTCCACCTTTGAATACTTCCCAGGTTGTGCTATATACACCTCAACGGATCTCATCAACTGGAAGCTCATCGGGCACGCACTCACACGCAGAAGCCAGATCGAGCTGAGAACCGTCGAGCCAGGCGCCGGAAGTTGGGCGAGCACGCTGCGCTATCGGCCTCAGGAGAAGCGCTGGTATCTCGCCAACGGGCTCTTTCAGAGATATCGACCCACGAATGATGTGAGCAAAGACCATGCCTACAATTTCGAGGCACTGCTTATGAGAATGCATAGGAGCGCATCTTCCCTAGGGGATTCTATGTTTGGACAGATAATATCTGGGATGAAAACTCCTGGTCAGATCCCGTATACTTTGACAATCCCGGATTTGATCAAGATGTGAGTGCTCAATTCGACCAAAACACGGGCACAGCTGATCGCAATTCCAGCTCTTCTGGGACGACGACGGAAAGGTCTATCTCTCAACAACAGTCCGCATGGGAAAGCGAACCCCAGGCCTCAAACTAAAAGACTTTGCCATTCACATTTCAGAAATCGACATTTCTACAGGTAGGACCCTCACCCCGCCGCAAGTGATCCGTGAATCCCCACACGGAATCGCAGAAGGATCACACATCATCCGCCGGGGAGAGTACTACTACCTCTTTACCGCCGAAGGCGGCACAGAAGCCGGCCACCAAGAGTGGGTTTTCAGAAGTCAGACGGGGCCATACGGGCCGTGGGAGGGGCAGGGTAAGGCTCTGTGGTATAACGGGCCCGAGGAGGAGGTGCAAAGGACCGGCCACTGCGATGTCTTTCATGATGGCAATGGCAATTGGTGGGCCGTGCTACTTGGTGTCAGGCCTGTGAAGGCTGGGGATGAATATCTTGAGCCGCAGATGGGTCGAGAGACGTTTCTGGTCCAGGTTGACTGGGTGGATGATTGGCCCGTCTTCAATAAGGGTCGCAATATCGCACTCCAGACCGTTGGCAGGGAAGCGATTGAGAAGGCCGCCGTCGCTGATGCTGACGGAGTCAAGTGGAAGGCAGACCTGTCCAGATCATCCCTGGAAATTGGCTGGTATCACAAGAGTGAGTTGGGCGGTCGCGAGCACTGCTTCCAAAGCTGAAGCTGATTTCATCTTTCTAGATACGCCTATCAAGCCCTGCCATAGCCTGACAGAACGTCCCGGCTACCTGAGGCTCTACGGGAACTGCTTTGATCTCAATAGTCCCGAATCGCCGGCGATGATTTTGAGGAAGCAGACTTCATATAGCGAGACCTTCAAAGCTACAATGCTCTTCAAACCCAGTCGGGTAGGGTACGAATCTGGCGTTACCATATGGTGGAGTCAGTACTCCTACGCCACCATTGGCATTGGCGCAGTTCAACCACAAGATGGAGGACCCGCCGTCCCGACAATCATCACGAGGGAGCCTACGGGCAAGGTCAACAAGCTCAAGGTACGTTCTAGGCCGCTTTATAGCTTTCGGCGTTCTTTCTAATGTTTAAAGGTGGCATACCCCCTGTTGGATTCTGCAATACCCGCCCTTAATTTAGATCAGCCGGTAAAGCTGTCCATCACGGCGAGGTCCTCCGACTATGAGATGAGTCTCTCGGTCGATGGGATTACGACGACCAGGATATTCAAGTCGGAGGCATTGACTGTCTTTCCTCCCGTAGGAGGTGCTTTCTGTGGCGTCATGTACGGGATTTACTCATTCGGGCAGAGTGAACCGGTGCTGGATCCTTCAGATTTCACGGACATTGAGATTCTAGAAATTTGAGTTAATTTAATAAGATGCCAAGGTTGGCAAATCTTTCCAGCCCTTCTTCAATGGCTCACTTCCGTCGGATATCAGCTGGTCTAGAGCCTTAAGGAATGAACAGCCAATGAAAGGCTTTGCGAACTTGATACTGCCTAGCCTGGGGCATGTTGAATCCCCCTTAAACATCTTTAAACACGAAGGCCTGGATTTCATCCCGAGTCCTTTTGAGTCTGAAGTAAACTCATCTCAACACATGCAAGAGCTGCAGAGACATGGACCTCCCTTCGGGCCTCCTCAACCTCGACGCCACTTGCTATGCAGAATCGCGAGTGCGACTCAAAACCACGTTGCAGTTTACTTTCCGACAGTCCGAGAGCTACAGTCTTGAGCTTCTGAAAACGCCGTCTTAGCATTCCCATTTTAGTGATGCATCCTATTGTATGCTGCTCTAAAGGCTGTAGGACGTAGCTACTGTGTTGGTAAGCCACAACTTTAAGTGAACGTCAAGTGAGACGAGTCTACCTGCGTTCCGTTCCTTGAAAGGATTTTGGTCAAGTATGAAGTCGATGTCTTCGACCCAGCAGGCCAAGTAGTGCGCTTTCTTCAAGAAACACTCCCCGAAAATAGATTGCCATAAACACATTATCGTTCTATTTCTTTTCTTTGCAGAAAAGAAAGCCACATCATACAGCCACCCCATCATCATGGCATCCTTTATCAAGACAGAACACTACGAACCCTACCCCGAAATCTCCCCTAATATCCTCCATACCCAATTCGCCAAGCATCCCTCTTTGCAAGCCTAGACCGCTCCCCCGATGTTCTTCTTAATAATGCCGGGTACCTCTCCGAGCCAGTGAGCTTCGTCGACGCGGATTTGAAGGATTGGTGGCAGGGGTTCACGACTAATGTATTTAGAACGGAGCTTATGACGCAGACGTACCTCCGCCATCGCAGAGGCTTGCGGACTGGGGCAGGTGAATTGGGATGTCCCCGAGTTGCTTTCGTGGAAGGATGTTATCGTCGAGAAGGATCTTTTGAGGACGAATATTACAGAGACTTGGGTCTATGAGGGGTTCCTAGCTTGGGGAGGATTTGATGGCTGTTGTATTCGTATTTTTGACTCAAAGATATGTAAAGGCACCTGTACCATGGCTTATAATTACAACCTCTTAATAGAATGGATCTCATTCTTGAGATATAAGCACGGACTCTTCTCATAAAGTAGGCAGCTTCACTCTTCGCAAGAACTTCAAACTTCCCAATATTTCGCTCAATATATACAACGAACTGAAGGCTATTTACGGATTCAGCTAGAATTCAGCAACTCTGCTATAGAGGACAAGCGCCATATCTTGCCACAAGAACCAAACTGCCACATCTAGTTGGTCTCGGCGACGTGGTTGGTGACCAAGCAAGTCCACTCGTCGGTACCGTAGTAAATGGTGTTACCGTCATTGTGCGACTGTCCGGTGCTAATGGTATCTCCAAGCTGCCAGAAAGCGTCGCCGGCCATGCCCGCGGTGGCGACCGAGGCGATCTGCCATGGTCTCTCGATCGTGCAGTGGTCGGATGGCGCGCCGTCTGTAATTTGAAGATTTGAATCAGTTTAGTTCAACTCATTTGCTTCTTCGCGAAGTTTCTGCATCTAGGTTATGACTTACATTCTTCAAAGAAGCAGGGCTTGTTTGCGGCAACGCAGGCCTTTGCGTGGTCGGCTACCCACTTGGCGCCAGTGTCGTATCCAACGCTCCCTATAACACGTCAGTGACCTTTCGATGATACCTCATTATTGCAGGTGGACTAACATGAGTTAGGATAGAAGTGGAACGTTCCAAAGTCCCTAAACACAGATCAAACATCAGCATCACAGCCACCACCACAGGGGGGCAACATACAAGGTAGTAATGTTCAGCAAACCAACCCAATCCGTTCCCTCACCATACTGATAGGGGTACGAAGTGTCTCCAGGTAGACCCATACCCTCATCGCCGAGCGTCACCATGTGGTTAGGATCCAGTGACTTGACGTAGGCCGACGTGGACTTTGCCCAGTTGTAGATGACGGAGGTCGCGCAGCCCTGGCAGCGGGGCTCGTTGGCCAGCTCCCACGCGAAGATGGCGGGCGAGGCCTTGTACCGGTTGACCACGGTCTGGACGTACTTGAGATACTGCGTCTGGGCCGCCGTGTTAGTGTACCAGCCGTTGTGGTCGCCTCCGAAGGCGTTGACGTAGGCGTTGATTCCACCATAGTCGTTCCTGGGACTGCATCAGATAGGTGCCTTGAAGAGGTGTTTGGGGGAGCAACTTACCAGTTGTTGACAAAGTTGATGATGAGCTTGATGCCGTTCTTCTCAGCTGAAGCGACGACGGTGTCCAGGCGTCCGAGACCGTTCTCGCCAGTATTGATTTGCGAACCCGACGCACTCAGGTACTGGAACCCTGTTCACTCCTTAGCTTCCTACAAGACAAACCCTAAGAAAGCTTGGGAATGCTTCATACAGTTATCATACTGGGGAATCGTGTTGACGTCGTTGAAACCCCAAATACGAAGGATCCGGAGACCAGAGGTCTTGAGATGACCCAGGACAAGGTCCACATCGGCCGCGTTGGTGAGGAAACTGCACCAGTAGCAGTTGGTACCGGGGTAGTACTTCGCCACGCCGTCGATGCTGAACTTGGTGCCGACGGCCTTGGGGAAGCCGGTGCTGGGCGGGGTCGTGGCCGAGGACGTCCGGGACGTTGCGCCGACGGACGAGGTGGTGGCCGCGCGGGTCGAGGTCGCGAGGGTGCTGGACCGGGAAGTCGTCGTCGCGGCGGAGCCTGGTGATGTTGGTCAATCTTTTGGTTTCTCGTAGCAAAGGTTATTGGAGAGAAACATACCGGGCAGGCACTGCGAGTACCACTGGTTGCTGTACGTGCAGACTGACCCGGAAACGCAGGTCGTTGCCCCAGTCCAGCCCTGGCCCCCGCATTGGCCGTAGAGGGGTGCTTGTGCTGAGACGGCGGCCGCGAGGGCGAGCGCACCAGCGACTGCGGACTTCATCTTGAAGATTCGGTCGATGATGGGCGGTGATTATAAGGAGAGATAGACTGGTGTTTCTTTTGTGTCGAACCGGTGGGATAGTCAGCCATATTTGTATTCACGAGGGTTCCTGAGCCCGACTCCGCTTCAATAGAGTTGTCAATATCCGGAACCGCCTCGCCGGATCGACGTCTTCCATGGCGCCCCTCTTCAAGAGAGGCTTGTCGTGTAGAGACATCTGAAATTCCATCAATGGCGTCTCGGGAACACGGGCGGATATGCCCATGTCTCATGGAGCCTGGGTCCCTGGATCGACTATGGACTAGTCTGCTCCGCAAATCGAGGGGATGGATATCTAGGAAGGGGACGATGTGGAGGGGCAGGGCCGCAGGAACGGGCAGACAGACGTAGGATTCAGTTCAGCTCTGGTGACGGGTGGGCCGACGGGGCCGGTACAGCTAAGTTTCTGCGTCGTGTTGCATGCTTTGGACGGACATAGTGGGTGCTCCAGACGGGACTACCGGGAGCCAGACACCCACGATCTACGGTTGCGAATCCCGTCGATCCACTACGCGGTTATCTCAGCGTGTAAGTGGTGAAGAGGTTTATTGACAGCCACCATAGTAATCGGTCAATCGCCGTATGTGACGAGAAGCGATAGCGAGGCCAGTGGCGAGACATTCTGGTCAGGCTATTCCGTAAAGCAAAGAAAATTAAAGGAAAAAACAAGAATGAGGCAGGTTGCCTTTCTTGGTGTAAGTTCCGCCTCGACGTATGGGGCTGCAACGGCGGAGCGTCGTCCGCCGCAACCCGCATTCGAACAAACTCGCCGGCGTTGACCCCGCTAATGGACATTGGCCACGCCGATAGTCGTCTCCAACAGACTCAATTGAGAGCACAAAGTGCCATTTGTCTTAGGTAGTTAGCAGGAGAACTAAGCCGAAAATCCGGCTTTCAGAGAGAAATGTTATTTATTGTAAGTCTCTTGTGCTTAATCCTTAGCCCAGATTCGACAATTCGGGGAATTGCACAAACCTACTTAATTGGATCTAAAAAGCCCAAGGCCGGTAGATGTTTTGGAGAAGCTGGAGTTCAACTTTTCTAATATGAGTGGACATCATTATCTCTTATAATCAATGAACCCGAGTACGCATACCTCTGCTTTTATATCTTTCCACCTATGCTTCCCACTGACCGACCGGTGATGAACGGTAAAGTGGTTGTTAGAGAAGGCCTATGTGAAAGTGCCTGCCAAACTTTATCCAATTACTTTCCCAACCAGCTGGGTGTTTAGCGAACACGCATCTGACTAGAATACACGAGCAAGGCATATGTCCCTCCTCGACTCGATTTCTGTCACCAACGGCAGCAGGCGCACCACAGGCTTGTGAGGCCAGGTCAAACTGCTGTTTGGCGGGGTGGTTGGAGGCGAGCCTCTTACATACATATACATACATATATATATATAAGAAAATCAAGCTACGCTCTCACTAGAAGTTACGAGCTCAAACCCAGCATGAGCACCAAAAGATGTAGTCACACCGGTGGTGAACTATTTTTGGGGTTGACCGGCGTTATGCTTAAGTGTGTTATTCTTACATGATCTAGAACATAACTTCTTTGTTTGCCTAAATGTATCTCAGTCAATTGAATAACTCATCCTTTTTACTTGTATCCCCAACAAATTCGAAGAAAACCCGTCGTCGACAGCAATCTTACACAAACCATGTTATCAAAAAGACGACGGTGGTTCCTTCTGCTGACGCGGGAAGGCGGGAAGGTGCACGGCCCAGTTTGTGGGGACAGCTTGGCGCCACACTCGGACCCTGATGACATAAGACGAGAAGCGGGACGATGACGCGGTGTGCACAGCCTCAACTGGATCATCAGCCCCTGAGCTGCCTCCATCCTCCGTCCTACTCTATGGTGCTGTCCCGCTGCCCATTTCCACATTACAATCCAATTCTTTCTTATTTTATCCTCCGACCGAAACG